CACACAGACTGTGCGTTCTTCTGATCACGATGCGCAAACACATGACCGAGAGCAGTGGTGCTGCATCCGCGAAGTACTCTCTGTTGACAGTGTTATCGCCAAATCCCTGACAAGAGTTCCGTCATCACCTAAATAAAAGTGCTGCGGTCCAAGGCTAATGAAAGTAACACTGCACTCCGAGGGAATGACGCAAGTTCTGTTGGATAGCTGGTTTATAGTTTCGAGCTAGGTTACCAACATACATCCGGCTAAAGGCAGCAAGCGAATGGCCAAAGGTCGGAGGCAATTCAATGGAACTTGCAAACGCTACAAATTCGTTATTTGCACAGGCATGCGGAGAGACCGACACAACAGCGCCCACGGCACACAACAGGACAGAACACAGCACGAGCGAAACGTTTGTTCAGGAACGCTCAATAACAGCATGCAACTTGACTGAAATTTATAAACCAAAAACGATTAATGGCCGGCCACCTAACGGCCGTTTTAAAAACTAACACAAAGTTGACAACTGTCAATGCATTCCCGGCAACAAAAGCCCTATCTTGCATGTACACAAACGCCCAAGGCCTTCTAAGCAAGTTGGCCTAACTTAGAGAACTCCATGCCTCACAACCGCGGGACCTCGTCATGATTACAGAGACATGGTTAAACCCTGAGATAACCGACTGTGAGATCAAGTTACCCGGTATGTCGCTGCTTCGGACCGATAGAACCGGAATGGGTGGCGGAGTGATTCTTTAATATGATACAAACCTCCGATGTGAAGTTATCGATCACCAGGTAATCCGAGCTCCTGATTCGCTTTGGTGCCGCCTATGGTTGCGAAACAAGGACACATGTCTACTAGCCGTGATTTATCGCCCACCAAACTCAACGTCGGAAATGGACTCCAAACTGAACCATGTTTTTCAGTTTACTTTGTACAAGTCCTACACCCACATTCTTATCGCTGGAGACTTTAACGTGCACGACATAGAAACGCCGGCAACCGACGGTACGCAGTTTAAAGTCTGCTTGCAAGAACTAATTGCTAGCCACCCTCTGTTCAACCACGTAACCTCTCCCACCAGATTTCGAACTGCTAACAAGCCGTCGATACTGGACCTTGTGCTAACTAAGGAAGAACCCATGGTTGACGGGATAGTTACAAGCACACCACTGGGTCGTAGTGATCATGTTACTCTATTCTTTGAATACATATGCTATGCGGAGTACCCTGAAAAGGAGGATGATAAAGTGCATACTGTCACGCACTACAATGTGTTACGTAAGATTGTTAAGGATACAACTTGAACTTTCTTAACCAAATCCCCCCCAGATGTTGCCTATGAAACCTTTACAAGAACGTTTAGCACACTGGTTGCGCATACATCGGAACAGAAGTCCTTCCAACCCAAAAACCAGAGTAAGTCATTTCTGAGGAGCAGAACACGTAAATGTATGTCCCGGAGGGATTTGACATTGCGAGATCACCAGGACTGCTCGAATGCCGAAAGCTGGAGTGCATACGTGACAAATTGTAACTACTGTGTGAAACTGATCCGCGAAGACAAGGTCACGCATCAGCAGGAGTTAATGAAGCGATTCTGCACGAACCGCAAACTCCTGTACAGGCACGTTAACGGCCTTCGAAAGGTGAAGCGCGGGGTTCCTGCACTAGTCACGGCTGATGGGTACACGCGATCAGAAATGGAAGCAGCCGATCTCCTACGGCCTCATTACTCCCAAACTTTCCAGCAGGTAACGAGCCCAAACATTCTCCTCATTTCTATTACTCCACCATCGGGTTTCGACAACATCACCTTCACTGCGGAAGCTGTGTTGAATAAGTTGTTATTCTTGCGTATCCATAGTTCTCCTGGAGTCGACAACATCTGACCAAAGGCTCTGCAGGCGCTCGCTAGTGATCTAGCAAAACCACTGGCTGTTTTCTATCAGCAATGTTCTTAAGCAAACCATATTCCACCAGTATGGAAGCGAGAGGTCAACACTCCTATTCACAAAGGAGGTAGCTACACTGACCATACCAACTACCGTCCAAAAACACTACTTCCTGTACCATCCAAAGTGATGGAATCAATCACTGCAGATGCATTGATTCAGTATCTGAAAAGCCACAATTTAATAGCCCCAAAGCAACATTGTTTTCGTCAAAAGCATTCGTGTAATACTAACGTATTTATTGCACGTAATAGCTGGACTGAAGCTGTTGATGATGGAGTACGAGTCGATGTCATCCACCTGGACTTTCCAAAAGCGTTTGATCACTTGGACTATCAAATTCTGCTTCAGAAGCTTCGGAACTACGGCATTGGTGATCCAACCTGAGTTGGATTAATAATTTTCTACACGAACGCCGGGTAGTGTTGACAGTCCGAGAATCATTGCCTGATGCAATCGATGTGGCGTATGGAGTAGCACAAAGCTCGATTCTTGGACCTCGTCTATTCTTGGTGTTCAGTAACGATTTGGCGCGATCAATTGCTTCCGATTTCCTATTTTTCGCTGATGATATCAAGATATGGTGAGGGACCAGAGAACCGGACGATCACGAACGGCTCCAGTGCCATCTTAACGCGGTGTCGAACTAGTCAGTTCAAAACGCCCTACCATTCAACGTAAACAAATGTCGAGTTGTACAATTACGCCACAGACATAACCACACCTATTTGCTCGGGACACAAGAATTGCAGTCCAGCTCCCAGGAAAGTGACCTTGGTGTGATCGTACAGAGCGACTTCAACTGTTCAAAACAGGCTGAGGTAGCTGCGAAAAGAGGCAACCAGAACGTCGGCATGTTGATAAGGGCATTCGGGAGATTTGACTCATCAATCTTCCCAATGATTTACAATTCTTACGTGCGCTTGCACGTTGAATACGCTATCCAAGCTTGGCAAACTTGGTTGAAGCGCGACTTAGATGCGTTAGAGGCACCTCAACGAAGGGCAACAAAGAATGTAAAGGGCCTGCGCTATCACTCTTACCACCGAAGGCTGAAATTGCTGGAAATTTTCAGCGGACGCTATCGAAGGC